AAAAGTAGGTAAAATTAAACAAGGCAACAAATCGGGACAAAAAAATGCGTATTTTGTGATTTTCATTTAACAATCGGATGACGGTTCACATTACGCATGACACATACATTTTCGTATTTTGTTTTAATAAAAATGGGCAAAAATCATAAAATAATTAACAAAGTGCCATGTAAAATCCAAAATTTGTACAGCAGGACCATTTGTTATTTTTTTTAAATTCTTTTGGAACGATTGTTGCGTAAAACAAAAATCACGTGCTCACAGCAAGTAAGATGCATCAGGATGGTCTTTTCATTTCGGATCCACCTGTCCTAGACAGACCCAACACCTGTGTTGAGTCTCCAAAGTCAAATGCACATGATGCAAACAAACGTTCCTACTAGGGATCCGGTATGAGGCTGAGTTATTCTAGGTTCAAAATCTGGGTATGTGTTCTAGACTGTATACCCGAGCGGACAACTAGAGCCGAGGAGAGGACTACGTACCAGGAACCAAAAGGCCATCCGGCTTAGTAACTTGTCCGAGCCTCTTTCTTATTTCAAGGTATGACACTAACAAAATAGGGAGTCTCGACCAGCGAGCACATCCCCGAAGATGAGAAGAGAAGGGTTTCATAGCAGTTATATATAGTTCAAATAGTATCAAAGCGGTAAAAGCAATATTTAGCACATTAGGCCCAAATATGTAATCAGATAATAAATAAAGCCAAATATAATAGTTGAGCGACCGTGCTAGAACCACGGAACCCGAGAATGCCTAACACCTTCTCCCGGGTTAACAGAATTCCTTACCCGGATTTCTGTGTTTGCGGACTGTAAAATAGAGTCAATCTTTTCCTCGATTCGGGATTTGAACCAGTGACTTAGGACACCATAAATTATCCCAAGTGGCGACTCTAAATTTTTAATAATAAATGAATCCCGTTTCGATTGTCACTTTATGTTGGAAAAAACTCCCTTATACCCTTTCCGGGGTGTAGGAAAAAAGGAGGTGTGACAACTCTGGCGACTCTGCTGGGGACTGGAACCCAGAACTTCTGGTTCATGGTTTATAATTCGAGCTTAAAATCATGCATTGATATATTTGATTATTGAAAGGTTCTCTATTGATACGGAATTTGGTCATGTTGGACACAGGTTCACAGTCATGAATGAGTATTGAGCACACATATTTTATGGTGCATACCTCTTTGTGAGCAAGGTTGGTGCAAGTTGTATTTGTTGAACATGTCTAATTGGTAGAGTTTGTTTATTAAATTATCCTAGCGGTGCACCTTTATTGTTGATATTCTTTATTATGTAATTATCTTTCTGGAATATTTTCTTTGTATTATACATGTTATTGAGCTGCACATATTCTGCAAAGTGAGTATTTTTGACTTAAAAAAATTTGCCACAACTTCTTTGAGGTTAGTCAAGATACTTACTGAGTATATTGTGTCTGTTATACTTATACTACACTTCTACACCTTGTGTGCAGATTCCGAAGCCGAGTAGCTATGGAAGATAAAGTCTTACATTGGAGACATACCAACGTACCAGATTCATGCTACCTTTCGTTCATGGTAAATTCAGACTTCATTTCTATTTATGTAAATTTCAAACAGATGTTGTATTTATTCTTCTTATCAGCTTTATAAATCTAATTATAGCGGCTAATGACTTGCACTACCAGTCCTTGGGGTAGCTGTATTGAATTCTTTTGCAGTTTTATTAATAATGTTAATGATTTCTCATTATAATGGTAACTTATATGGTTTGACTTACTTAACGGATTGGGTTAGGTGCTATCAAGACTTGGTAGAATTTTGGGTTGTGACACCTTTCAATCATATCTATGCAACTCCACATCTACTTAATGCATGCTATGTTACATGAAGAATTCACATTTAGTATTGTGATACAAAGTTTTCCTTTGTAATTCTTCTTCATTCATATTTTTTTAATATTCTATAATAAAGACAGTTGAGAGAAAGATTAGGGTTTGCATTATGGACGGAGAGATTGTACAGGAGAATAACTCGATGCACTAAAATTGTTCTCCTGCTACTAATATTAAGTTGCCACTTTCAATTGAGTGCCACATATTGGTCACTCTGTTATGTAAAAGAATGAGTTTTTAATAGGCGTTCAGTGAGACTTAAGGTAACTGGAAGATTTTCATATTCAATTACTCCACATGGTATCGCTTGTTATGTTGAGTTTAATATTCATGATAGTAAAACTCTGCAAAAAACATTAAAAACTCCAGATGGACATAGGGTTTAATTGCGATTGTGAGCACCTAATTTTTGCCCTACATGAAAATAACTCCTAAAAATAAATCAAGAATAATTTTAATGAATTTTAGTAGTTTTTCTTTATTTAGTTGCATTTCATGCATGTTTAATGTTTTTAAAATCATAAAAAGAATTGTCACGTTTTAATTTCGTGCCATCTTAGGATTAATTTGCATGTAGGAATTAATTGTATTAAGCAAAAATCACAAAAAATGGTCATTTTTACATATTTAGATTCTAGCCTTTAAAATTAGTATTTTTTCTTTAGTTTTAAATTAATTAGTTGTTTTAATGTTAAAAATAGATAATTTTTTTTAATTTATACAAAAATAGATTTATTTAGGATTTTAATTAATTAAAGAAAAGAAAAGAAAAAACAAAGAAAAGGAAAATAGGAAGAATATATTTTGGTCTTATTTCTTTTAAAATTAGGTCAATACTTAAAATAGCCCATATTAATTTTAAACTCTAGCTCAATTGCCCAATCCACCCCAAGCCTGGCCCAATAAACCCTTCCCTCTCCATTAAAACACACATTAAAAGACCTAAAAAGGGGGATAAGATTTTTTCCATCTCTAGACCTAACATCAGAAGACCTTCCTAATTTTCCCTTTAGCAGTGGCACAAGAGAGGAACGAAGGAAATGAACGCTCCTCCATCTTGACTCCATCACAACGCCAGACACCCCTTCTCTCTATGTCTCCTTTCTTCTCATTCGACTAGACAAAAACACATCAGATCCCCTCCCATTCTGAAACCAACACCTTCCCCTTCAGATTTTTGAGAAATCTTCTCTCAATAATTGAAAAGGGACACACACACACACATAAACGACTTCTTCTTCTTCTTAAAAAATAAAATAAATAATTTTTTTAGATTCGAAAATGGCATCCCAAATCAGAAGCAGAAGCTAAAATGGAAAGAAAACTTGAATTTTCAATGGAGATTTGAAGAAGAATTGATTTCGAAGCTCGATTTCTTTTCTTTATGGGTATCTAATAGCCCTTTTGGAGCCGTGGATTTGCTTAATTTTTGTCGTTGATTCCTCGCTGATTATTTCTGCTCTTTTCGCTACTGCCAAGGTATGAACTCAGCTTTTAAGTCATGTAAGCACTGATTTTGCATGTTATATTGTCATAAAGTTGTAGTAGTTTATTCATGTGTTTGAAAATGTTCTCCAATGATTGATTATAGATTTGACTTTGCTTTGAATTACTCTTATGCATTGAACCAATGCACAAATCTGGGTGCAAATATAAATTTGTTTTAAGCACTATTAAGCTCTTGTTGTAGTAGGAATGGTTGCTGGAATTTTGAGCTGAAATGGTGTTGTTCTGGTTTGTTTGGTTTTTTTTTATGAACTAGCTAAAATTACTGATTTGGAAGAGACAATGCCGCATTTTATATTCTGTGTATATACTGCGTAAAATTGTTAAGACATGGTTTTGCTTCTAATTTCAGAACTACCAGAAAAAAGAAGTTATGAAAAAGGAATGAGAAATAAAGGGGTTTCATCTGAAATATTGTTGAAAATTCGCAGATTTAAGCCAATGTCATGGTCTTTCTTCCCCTTTTCCACATCGAGCAAATATTTTTACAAGTTACAAATTGTGTTTTTACAATCAAAGTGCCTTAAAGCTGCTTTCAATGGCTGTAGAACTTTAAATTTATTGTCATTTGAGTTCTGTTATTGTATGACACTGCAGATGATTCATCATATTTTTTTTATCCATAACTCCTTATCCTTACAATAATCTTGAAGTAGCTTAGAAAGGAAAAATTATGAACATCCGTAGTTTGCTTTAAGTTGAGTGCAATCTTTTAAAATAAATTGAGGCATGCCATTCACAAATGAATCCCATAATCTATGGCCCTCACATCAATACTGAAACTAGTGTGAAAAACAAATACTTGGAACATTCATGACTAGTGTAGAAAACACTTTGAACTATTCGTAGTTTGCTTTAGGCGCGTTTATAATAAAATTATCATAGCTACGGGTACGGCTCCCGTGAAGTAGTTATGATACATAATTCCCAAATTCGGGTGTGCATTTCATGTGACCCGATCGTAACAACTTTGAACATTAATAAAAATAAACATATTTTTTAATCGCGGATGCATTTCATGTAGCGTGGTTTGTGGTGTGTTCCAAAACGGCAAGTGTACGACAATCATAACTTGTTCAAGAAATAACTCCATAAATCCTAAAAGCAGTTTAAAATAATTAAAAGTGGTTATAAAGTTAAAAATGCACAATAAGCTTAAAACAAGTAATAAATCAGATAATTAGACCAATTAATAATAGTTAAAGTGACCGTGCTAGAACCACAGAACCCGGGAATGCCTAACACCTTCTCCCGGGTTAACAGAATTCCTTATTTAGAATTTCTGGTTCACAGACTTTTAAATAAAGTCGAAATTTTCTTTGATTTGGGATTTAAAATAAACCTGTAACTTGGGACACCATAAATTATCCCAAGTGGCGACTCTAAATTTAAATAAAATAATCCCATTTCGAATTATGTCACTTTAATTGAAAAAGATCCCATATATCCCCACCTCGGGTGGTAAAAAGTATGTGTGACAGCTCTGGCGCTCTGGTGGGGATCATAACCCAGAATTTTTAGTTCAGAGTTCAAGAATTTGAGCTTAGAATAACTGTTATACTTGACTTTATTTATTATTTGATTTTTATATGTGTGGGCCTAATATTCTAAATGCCTCTTTTTACCGTTTTGATATTATTTGAACTGTATATAAACTATTGCGAAACTCTTCTCTTCTAATCTTCTGGGAAGTGCACGCTGGTGTGACTTCTTTTCTGTTAGTGTCATACCCTAATTTAGAACGAGGTTTGGACAAGGTACAAAGCCGAATGACCTTTTGGTTCCCGGTACGTAGCCCCCCCGGCTCGAGTAGTCCGCTCGGGTAAGCCAAATCTAGAACAATACACCCAGGTTTTAAACCTAGAATAATGTAGTCTTATGCCGGATCCCTAGTAGGAACACTTGTTTGCATCATGTGTATTTGACTTTGGGGACTCAACACAGGGGTTGGGTTCGTCTAGGATAGGTGTACCCAAATTAAAAGACCATCCTGATGCATCTTACGTGCCACTTGCGCATTTGTTTGATTCGACTTGCATGTTTACCGGCTTCTAGAATAGGGAAAGAAAAAAAATCAAAAAAAAAAGAAAAGAAAAAAAAATCAAGAGTGCGGTAGGTATTTGAAAATCCTGAAACTCTTCCGAAATTCTGAAAAAAAAAAGAAAAAAGAAAAGTTATTTCAAAATGAGCTAAACTTTTCAAGTGCTAGGTTTCCATGCTCCATCAACACTGACCGAACTACGCGTGTCTGATTCTCATCGGATGTGAGATATGTAGGCAAACCTCATCGGTTCCGACCCCAATTTTAAAAAATCCAAAAATATTTTCCTTTAGTTCCTTCTTTAGAAATCTTTCCTTAGAAAATTAAAAAAAAGAAGAAGTTTTTTTAAAACTCAAAAATAGTTGCCTTCTTTCTGAAGTCTTTCATAAGAAAAAAAGACATATAAAAATCAATAAAAAGTCAAAATTTAAAATACGAGTTTCCGTCATTTTGACGTATTTTTCCCAAAAATTCAAAAAAAGAATAAAAAAAATAATTCTTTTCCTTATTTAAAAGTCTTTTTCTCAATTTTTTTTGAAAAATTGAAATCCAAAAGTATTTTCGTTTTTCTCTAGAAGTAATTATGTAAATTTAGAAATAAAAAAAACTCCGAAATCCAAATTATTTTTCTTAAAAAGTCCCTTTTCCGAAAATTAAGAGGCAACATCCAAAAGCCAAAAATATTTTCTTTCTTCTTTAGTGTTTACCGTGAAAATGGTAACAACAATTAAATTTGTAAATGAGATTCTAAAAATACGTGATCTATTTTTATGCTAGTTGTTAGAGCAGTTGATGCTAGGGATGTGAAGTTTAACGATGAAATACAAGATAAAACGAGACAACGATCAAATAGAGGGGCTTGCTATCCGGGCTCCGGATAGGTCGATAAAGGGCCCCAGGGTCGATATCCGGCTCGAGTTCGAGCTATCGGGGGTAGTTGGGAATGGGATAACAGTTAGAGTATAATTAAAGAAGGCTCTTTGTGGCCAATACCAAGCAATAAATGAAGAACAAGTATGAAAGAAATAAATGCTAAGAGTGGCCTCGAGCGAGTAAGTTAGAGAGAAGAAAAAAAGAGAGATATTGTTGATTTTGTGGAGAATAGTTGGAGCAACAGCAGCCCCTTACAAAGTGGTGTTGATTCCTTTTATATAGGAGAGGGAATACAATATAGTACAGAGTGCATTAAATGTAAAGACACAGGAATAGGACGGCTATGCGCGATACTAGACTCTGCTGATGCTAGTTGCTCGCCTCGGGAGTTCCCTATCCTCGAAATCTTTGTTGTGTCATGGGCGAACCTCGGAGGAGGGAGCTTGATCGTAGCCTTGTAGACTCAAGATACCGATATGACTCCCCGAATGCACCTTAGTGGCAAGAAATTGATCCGTCCGATTTCACCGTATACAGATAGTCTCCGCGTTTCCTAGAACGAAGAAATAGGAAACGATTTTGAACTGTCGTCTCGAGGTCATCATTGCCGTTACGCCAAATGTTTAAGAGCATTAAATGCCATGTTCCAGAGAACTGTGCAAGGCCGCCATCAGATATGATAATCGAGAAACCCACGAACTGCCATTGGCTCGTCTTTTCCACTCCCCAAGCGGTTCCTATAAATGCATCGGTTGCTTCCCACTTCTCACTTTCACCCCATTTCCAAGCTCACGAATCAGAATTTTTTTGTATTTGACACTCTTTCATCTTTTTATTGAAGAATTTTTACCATTGACATGGCTAGGACTTCTAGGACGGTTCCCTGGCAAAACGAAGTTGCATCATTATCCCGATCGCCTAAGGAAGAAACCAGAGAGATTCCCTCTTTGGAACAGTGCACCCCACCTGATCTCGATATGTCAAAGGATTTTAGTGTCGATGCCACTTCATTTACACCAGGCCGGTGCGTGCATGTGTCCCAGTATGTTAGCGTCGTGACTGATATTAGCAAGGTAAGGACGGACTACCGATGGAGCGAGGCAGTAGGGGTGGAGATTCCCGATCTCAACGATAGTATAATGGACCATAAGGCTGGCTTCCTTCACGTGTACACCTACCCATTTACCCTGGGTCCCGATAATTCTACCAAGTCCTCTCCCCTGGAGATAGACTCGGTTATCCTTGATTTCTGCAACCGATACCAAGTGACGCTTGGTTAGATCTATCCTTATTTTTGGAGGATAGTGTTGATGCTTCGTCATTTCAACTAAGGGGTTGAGGGTGAGATATTTACCCTCAATCATCTGATCAGGATGTACAACCCTCGATTTTATCAAGGTTTAATTAGGCTCCGCCATCGGTCCAAAAAATCGTTTTTCTCAAGCGTTGACGAGGGAAAGGATCGAGGATGGATGAGCAGGTTTATCCGTGTGAAGACCTCGAACATCATCCCGGCCCAGAGGATGCCCTTTCTGGAGAGGTGGAATACCCAATGTAAGCAATTTTTCCCTTAGCCGTTTTTCAACTATTCTTCCTTTCGAAATAATGATCTTTTTGTGCTTCCTGCAGCCGCTACTTGGTACCAGGAGGTGGTTCCAGATTTGTCAGGATGGATCAGGCAGTTGGACGAGAAGTTCCCATAACGTGCTCGGTCTTGGACCGGCCTGGCCAAGAAGCGTTGGGTTGCTAAGAATCATGGTGATGCTCCTTTACCACCTATGCCTTGTACTTGATGTTTCTTTCTAAGCCCTTAGTGTAAGCGTCATGCGGTTACTGCGCTGGTGCAGGTTTTGGTGAGAATATGCAGATAAGGCCGCCCCCTGGTGGCGAAGTAGGGCTTTGGAGCCTGACACGAGTAAGAAGAGGAAAATCAAGGCAGCTGCTATCGGTCCTGCGGCAAATAAAACCAGGTCACTCGAGCATCGATCCGCTGCTGGGACTGCTGCTTCAACCTCAGAGGCGAATCCTGACACCGAGGGAGAGGATGACGAGAGCCTCGCAACTGCCTAGGCAGGAGGCTACTGAGTCCGGAACAACTGGCTCTGATCGGCCTCGTGAGACGAGGACCCTCGAAGAGGATGTTGATGTAGCTTCAAATCGTGCAACTAGATTCGATGCGATTTCCACCCAAGGGACCGCTGCCGTTGATCTTGAGGGGTCGGGGATCGGAGCCTTTTAGGAACGTGGGTTGCCACTTGGAGAAATCGGTGATCTAAACGACTTCCTTTCGTGCTTCCCAATCTCGTCAGGGGAACTGTAGGATGCTCAAGGGATGATTGGCGCCACATCGGGGATTCCTCTCCAAAGGGGAGGCTCTATTGCCAACATCTTTGATGGTGTTAGTGATAGTGCCGATCTTGATATTCCCAGTGCTGTCAAAGAGGCAGAGAAGCTCATGCAATAGGTGATAGCCATTTCTCGTGCATTTCTTTCGTCCTCGAACGTCATTCTTCGTCTTTCTAACTTTTCCGCTTTGTCGTAGTGTAAGGAGATATACGATCATGCCATCCTTCGGCTCCGCAAGGAGCTTTCTTATCATGAAAAGGAGTGTAAGGAAGCTACCTCGAAGATGCGGGATTCGGAGGCTCGTTCT